TATGTACAAGTCATTGGTGTTTGGTGATGAGTTTTTGGCTCAAGGTCTGTATTTAAAGTCACACCAGAGGTGTTCAGGTGGGATTAGGACTTTTCTTTCTGCAGACCAGTCAAGTTTTTCCACACTGACCGAATCAATCTTTTTTTTTTTACTTGCCTTATACACAGAGGCATTGTTGTGTTAGAATAGAAAAGGGTCCTGTCCAAACTATTGGTATAAACCGACATGTTTATTGTGTATTATTTTCAATGTGTTTATTGCTAAGTTTAGTGTGGAAAATAGAAGTGCAGCCGTAATTCACGTGCAGTGTATCTGGTTGCCATAACAACCTCAAGCGCTTGGGCCCTTAGAATCGTCCTAACTTTCCCCCCCTTAGCGGCGCCCCTGTCAACAGGTCCTACAACTTTGAAAGAAAGACGGATACATTCCGTGTGTACAAGTGGTTAACGCTTTGCAAACGAAAATGATATTCTATTATGCTTAACAGATGATTAATTAATATTAAAATAACCAGAAAAGCCATTAAACTTTGATTTGTATAGTTTGGTACATATACTTATAACCGAATGCTTATCAATTCTCTGATCTGTTTGCAAATGATTAATTGAAAAAGATTATTATAAAGTAGGAGTGCCAGTGGATTTTATTGTTATTTGTAAGCAAATAAATGAATACATACATAAGTGTAAGGTCTGTTTTGGGTTTTGTCATGTTCATGTTTTTATGTCTTTTATTTTGTAAGTTTTGTCATGTTCATGTTTTCATGTCTTTTATTTTGTAATTGTTTCATGCTGTTAGTGTCATGCTTCCCTTGCCCTCTTGTCTTCATGCTATTGGTTCCTCTGTTCATTGTGTCATGTTCTGATTGGTTGTCCAGGTCATGTGTCTTGTTTCCCATTGGTTTGTTCATGTCATGTGACCCTCTTTGTTTGCTATAAGTAGCCATGTCATCGCCTTTGTTCCTTGTCGTGTATTGAATGTATTTGTCCTGCTCTGTGTTTTAGTTTAAGTCAAGTCAAGTCTAGTCTAGTCTGTTCAAGTCAAGTCAAGTCATGTCAAGTCTGTGTTTATTGTTTGGATTCTGGATCACTTTGTAAATAAAGCTGCACTTCGGTTCATCTTCAACTCGCCTTCAGTGGACTGATCGTTACAATAAGTCAAATAAATACATACATTTTGGTGTCAAATAAAATGAAATCAAGAAAAACAAACCTTAACAGAATTGTTCATTGAAGAACAGAAAAAAAAACAAGAACATCAAATATATAATACTGTGAAACCAAAGGGGAAATATATTTAGGCTCACCTGTCATTTTGGGGGAACTTGAGAAGGGGTGACCGTTCTGTGTGGTTGGCTTGGTTGGATTTGCCTTTGAGGAGGTTTACCATGCTGAAGCTGTGCCTGGGAGCAAGGAGAAAACTTATTAAATCCGAGCATGATGTCTGTCATAAATAACATCTCAGCCACATTTAGAAATCAATTCTTGGCATCCATTTTTAATGACTCCTCTATAAAAACTGACAGCTGAAATAAAATGGAACTAAAAGTCTTTGAGCAGAACTGAAAGTCATTCTTCCTTTTTGGTCTCTGTTCAGTCATCTTTACACCATAATCAAACATCCTGGTCTAGTGTGTCAAACAAGGTCTAAGCTACATGATCATAAAATAAATGTAGATTTGCAAACATAAGCAAGCTACACATCCAAAAGATTAGCGACAATTATATAAGTCATCCTTCTGGCCCATTGTGTCCTCCTACAGCTGTCTTAATGATTTAACTGACACCTCGTAACTTGTCAGGGTGGATGGGCATCAGGTAGTTTGCAGATTCACAGAGGAAAGAATATGATATGGTTATGACAGGTTTATGGACAACAGCATGCTGCTTATCTGGGCCTTGAAAACTAGAATAATGTTCTGGCCTTGGTTTACATGCTATAAAACACAGTGGCACGATGAAATAAACTATTGCTTTGTGACTTTGTCTTGTGTCAGTGACAGGCTTATGTAATGCATGAATCCCTCAAAAAAGTCAATGCCACAATCTCATGATTTTAAAATATTTATCTTTCAACATGTCATATAACAGATATCCAAGTTAAAAGTATCAATAAAAGAAATCAGGACTATAAAGTACATATAAAACTGAAATGCTGACCCAGGATATCAGTTGTTTTGATTCTGATTCTCACCCATCTAGAATCAGAAAAAAACTGCAGACAGACTAAATCCAGAAGAACTGTGGCAATGTCTCCAAGATGCTTGGAGATATCTATATGTCTTAAATGTACAGTCAAACCAAAATTTATTCAGACACCTTCAACATTTCACACATTATCACAGTTTATTCACTATAGTTTAGAAAATGGTAATAAAATATGACAAGAACTCAAGAGTTAAACTGTGTGAACAAATTCATCTAGATAATGTCAGATAATAAGTAAGCAAAACATGGTCAGGTCAAAGTGTCTGAATAATTTTTGGTCCCACATTTGTATCAATTTTACTGGTAGTCCACTGTATGAAGAATTTTTGGGTATAATATGTCACAGTTGACTTTATTTAGCTATCCTTACTTACATAAATGAACTATAGTGTCCTGCACCCACTAGTAAAAAAAAATATCAAAGATTATTTCTGCTGTCGGAATAATTTTTGGTTTGACTGTATACAGTATTTATAAAATATATTGTGATTTCGGTTTTATTTCAAATGATTCTGCAGCACTATTTGGCTATTTTAATTTTACATTTGATTTATTTCATTATTATCTTTTCATTAACTCCTGAACCTTGTGCAGTTTCCTTGTGAACCCCCGTTTGGGCAACCCTGGCATGCATCAATAATAATTATTTATAATTATAATAATTTTGTATTACCACATTAATGTATTTCAACTGTAATACCACATTAATGTATTTCAATATAATTTGGGCCATTAGCATTCCTTCATTCAGTAATCACACTTTATCCTCTCAACTTCCTCAGACAAGGAAAGCTTTATTTACTGTAGTCAACCATTTCACATCTCATATACTCAATAACAACAGAAAAATCAATAGAAGTCTCAAGAAGAAGAGGGGGAAGAGAAAAGATCAGTTCTGAGCTATTGCTCAGAGACACCAGCAGTGTTGATATTTTTCGGCCTGTGTGAACAGAACAGATGGAAATCCCGAGAACTCTGTGGGCTAATTACTGGAGCCTCTTCACTAATCTAATAATCGAGAAAAATTCTCTGTTTGTCATAATTAATGACAGTTTAAATGGGTAAAGTCCCTCTTATCTCTTCAATTGGCTCTGAGTTTGTGTGTGAGTTATGGAGAGCCTTTTGCAGAATGCCAGAATAGATCAATGCTGCTCAGCACAGGCCAGACTATAGAGTCAACCCTAGTCCAATTCTAACACATCATTGGGCAAATCCCAAACCTCAGCTGCTTAGCATTACAGAGGACTCAAACAACTCACCCACCCCTACCGATGCCTCAGCTCACTGCAAACAGCTGGGATGGTGTGTGTGTGTGTGTGTGTGTGTGTGTGTGTGCTTTTGTGTGCTCCAGACAAGACATAATAGCCATGGCGGGGGTGTGTGTGTGGGTGTGTGTGTGTGTGTGTGTGCTTTTGTGTGCTCCAGACAAGACATAATAGCCATGGCCTCCAGGATATATCCTGGTGTTGAGTTTGGGCAAAAGGGAGATTAGACAGGATATTTCAAGGCCTTTAATCCCTCTCCCTGCAGTTACACAACGGAGAGGAGATTTGAAATGTTAGCTCTCAGAATGCAGGATTTATAAATGAAGCAAAGCTTTCTCTTATTGTGCATGAACCCGAGTGTGTGAGGTTCAGATGAGAATGAAACCAAAGAGGGGGAGTACATAAAACAGTGGGACACCTACCATCCTCTTAGATCCAGCATAGAATACAAGTCAAATTGAATGCTACCTGACATACTCAATTTAATTTCATGAACAATATGAAGAAAATTGCTCCATTTTTAATAATATCATATTGTAAAGTCAAACAGAAATTTCAAAAGAGTTTTTTTCTAATTAATACTTTTGTTCAGCAAGGATGCATTAAATGGCTCAAAAGTAACAGTAAAAACATTTACAGTGTTACAAATGTGTCTGTGGACACACACACACACAATATATATTTATATCTGTTTTGATCCGCCTGATATCTGTCTGATACTTTTGATCAAATAAGTGCAGTCTTGGTGAGCATAAGAGACTTTCAAACCCATTAAAAATATTACTGACGCCAAACTTTTAAACAATAATATGTGTGTAATAATATATGGCATATTTATATATAAGTGTGGCATATTTCCCATCGGACAGAAAGATAAACAAACAACTATTGAAACTTTCTATTTAATTAAATTACGGAATATATAAGATAGAGAAAGTCATAGAGGACAGAGAAACAACCACTTAAATGCATATTTTGTAAAATAATACATGATGCGATCAGCTGATTTCATTGAGAGTGGTTATCATTAAAGAATTCCCGTACGAGAGAGCAGTCATGAGAGCAGAAGCAGATCTCATCTCATGCATGACTAACAATTAATCACGTGATGGCTGATCTAAAACTGTACTGTCTAATCTGAAAAGTGTAACAACCACAAGCTTGAGATTAAGACCCCCATCGTCATATTCTACAGTATTTCATACACACATTTCCACCCCCACATAGACACACATTTGTAATGACGTTACTACAGTAATGTGACTCCACACGTGAGCACCAATCCTCTTTAGAGTCGATTAGCAGCTGTTACACACAGAAAAGCTCTCACTAAGGGTTCTGGAGACCTTATCTGCCAAATGTGTTCAGCTGAATTTCAGCCATAATAGTAGAAGTGCAATGTTACAATGAATTTGTAAAATACATTTTGCATTAAGATTCCATTCCCAGCATGTGCTTTCTTTGAAACATCTCAAAGGTGAGGTGTTGTACTTTGTTAAAATACTTTCTCTTACCAAAGTTTAATTTGCAGGGACAACTATAAGCAAGTCATTTGTAGACTGATCTCCCAGAAGAGTATAAACACTGTGGCACTATCAAGCTTGAAAGTCTGGTTGAGTGTGTTTGGGGCGGGGATACCCGTTGGTCCAAATCATCTTTGACATATGGTGCATTCAAGTCCTCCAGGAAAGTTTGTATTTACAATTTGAGAAGTCGTAATGAACTAAAACTAAACTAAAACAATTTTTAAAAAATTACTTTAAATAAAATAAACATTAACTGACATAATGTCAATAATTCATTTTTAAAAATTCATTTCAGCTAATATTTCTCATTTTAATTTAGTTTAACTTGATGTACTCAAATAACTAACTAACTAATAAATAAACAAGTAAATACAAAATATATATATCAAAATGTATTTCATTTTTTAACTATTACATAATGGCAAATAAAGAAAGCTGGTGTGTTTTAGCTTTTTATGTTTTGATTCAAATTATGAAGGTGCTACAAATTTAATTGTTAAATATATTTATATATTATATTAGTTATCATAATTGTACAATACTATCATATTTTTTTACATGCAAGCTAGATTTACTTTAAATGTAAAAATATTAATAATAATAACTTAATTTAAAAAAATTACCATCAATACAGATGCAAGCAACTCAAAGAAAGTTGTGAGTTTCCCACTTGTAATTACGACGTGTAATTATTAACTTGAATGCACCATTAAACTAATAACTAATTATTCTTAATTATTAATTACAATATAAAAAATATAAAACTAAAATATACTTAAACAGATAGTTCACCCAAAAAAAAGTACATTTCTGTTATCGTTTGAAAAATGTCTTAATTGTTTGTTTGTTTTTGGTCCATATAATGAAAGTCAGTGGGACTTGATGTTGCTTTGGACTCCACTGACTTTCACTATATGGACAAAAACATTCCTTAAAATACTTCTTTTGTGTTCAGTAATTCAAGTATGGAACAAAATGAGAATGAGTATATGATGATGGATGAATTTTGAATTTTAATTTTGGAGTGAAATATCCCTTTAACAGTATTTATTCTTGATTAAGTATTTGATAGTCAGAACCTCAGTTACTACTGTCCTACCTATCATCTTGATGGACGTCAGTGTAGATTATGCAGTGTCCTGAGGGCATGGCTGCAGCCTGCTGCAATTTCTGCGTCTCTCTTTTCCCAGAGAATCCCTCCAGCAGACGAAGCTCATCAAAGTTCCCAGCCACAGTGTCAGACTGTCTGCGGCCTACCCTGCTGGAGTGACCCTGTCCTCCGGTTTGAGACATCTCCACCTCAATATTGCTCTTATTCTCCAGATACATCTTCACTCAGGCACACTTGACCGCAACTGGAGGAGAAGGGGAACACTGAGGTAAAATGATCTTTTAATGTAGCATAGGTTTCATATTTATGGTAACTAGCATCAGATGAGTTCTTTTGAGACTTACATTTCCAGATTAAAATGACTTCTATAAGCCACATACAGAACAATGATGTACAGACATAAATAATTATAGATACAGAACTGCATCGATTTTATACCATAAGGATGCACCTGCCCCCTCTAGTGCTTCCCATGCATATAGCAAATAAAGTCAAATAACACTCATATTTTTTCCATCAAGACTCATTATAATTACTAAGACACTTTAGATACATGGAATAATAAGTATTAATGCAGAGTATGAATGCCACACACACTACTGTAAACCTTCTAAAAGAATAAGGTCACATATTATAGCCACAGTCCCTATGCTATTTCAAAGTCTCAGGCACTTAAAGAGTTAGCCTCTCAATCGGTGACTGACAGCTAGAGTGTAAGGTTCCAGTCTAAGAGTCACAGACACAGCACCATCCTAATTAAGAACTTACTTCACCCTTTTGACCCTGGCATTACTTTTCCACACAGCCTCCTTTACACAGAGACCTACATCTTCACACAGACCTCCATGAATTCACAGCTGTAGAGTCTAAGACAGATTTCAACTTTGTTCAACGAGTTTTGTGTGTGGGGGGGTAAGTAGGCTGTTTGTTTGTTTTTTTGAGCAGAAGAACATTGTGGAAAATGTATTACTCATTTTAATGACCACAATTTTTAGAGTTGCATTTGTTTTTTACATTGCCTAAATAAAATGTGTCGCTTGCCTGTGCAAAACCCATCTAGGGTGTTGCAAGTGGTTGTCAGGAAATTGCTTTGCTTTTGTTAAGGGGTTCCAAGGGGTTATGAGGGTGTTCCAGCCCAATTTAATTAGTATTCATATGTAATGATTACGCGTATATTTTCTAATGTTTCGATATCTGAAACAAACAATATGGACGCACTGACTGCATCGAAAACAAATGTATTTATTTACATATGCATAGGTTTAGAAACATAAAAATCTTTACAATCTTTAATGTTGTTATTGTTAAGTGAAACTAAAATAATGAAAAATAATTTCCTTAATTGACTATGTGACCAGTGCTTGTTTGATTTCCGTACCTCACTGCTGCCGAATCAAACAAGCTCTATTGTGCCAGTGGTCAATACAAAGTGCTCACTGTCAGGGTGTTAACAGTCTGCAGAAACATGTCATCCGTTGTCTCAAGAGTGAGTGTTACAATGTAAATGCAACACATCAGCAATATTTATCTTTCAACCCCTATTCAAATCAGCCCTAACTCCAGCTCTAAGATAGATGGTGGGCCGTACTGTACGAGTCTCGGGTCGGACAGTTTTACTAGTATTTTACTAGCAAGTCATTCTGCAAATATTTGCAGCTTAGAGAGAGAAAGAGAGATTCAAATTAATATTAAATTATCTATTAACTCAAATTTTTGTCAAAACAGTGGTTCAAAATTGTATTTTATTTTTTTTAAATAACAATATTTACTCATTTAATTTTTACTCAATTTAATTTTAAGAAATAAAATGGATTTGCAGCTTGTATTTATTTATTTATTTATTTAAATAACTGTAGTTCAGAGCAAAAGCTAGAGGCTTTACCTCTGAATCAGAGCAAGATTAATCTGTTAAGAACCTTAACACACACAAAGCTCTCACACACTCTCCAGACATTACTGTACATTCCTCTTTGCCCCCTCCCTCCTCTCTCTCAGTGTGGGAAGAAATATTAATCCATTGAAAAATGCATTTAGTACAAATACTGTATGTGAAAATGAGACCATTTCAAATCAAATATAAAGGTCAGGTTTTTTTGTGGATTTTGTTTATATAAAAGGCAAATACACTTAATAAAAATAGAACTGAATATACATGGGTCTTAAATTATATTCACCATTCAAATTACATACAAAGTTAACTAAAGATATATGCTAATTATAATTGAATTCACTTCACTGTTGCAGTTTAGTAACCAAAAAGGTCCCTTTTTTTATTTGTTCAGACAATTTTTAAATTGTATTAATATTTTACCTATCCTGTATAATGTAACTCTTACCTTTCTTTTTTTTTTTTTAACAAAACTGAATTTCTTACCTGCCAATTCAGAGAATGAAACGGGCGAGATGATGATGATGATGATGATATTATAACATTAAAACAAAAATTAAAAAGTCAAAAAAGAAACCCAGTTGGTCCAAACGGCTCTGGCTGGCTCACAAGTGCCGCACACAGGCTGCAGGTTTTCATGAGCTCAGGAGGAGGAGAAAGATACTCACTCTTAAATGGAAATTGTAGACTTCTAGGAGATGGAGGGAGTGACCCACAGCAAACTCTGCACACAGACAGAAGAGAGTGAATAAACAGCCCTCCCTCTTTCCTCTTCTCTCAGACCCTAAGATACCTTGTGGAAGTGGACACTCATTGACACTGGTGGTGTTTAAGACATGCCCAACTTTCCCCCAAATGCCTGAAGACACCCACCCCTTTTCATACCAAAACAATACACACAATGAAAAAAAAGATTGTTTCTTGCACACATACTCAAGTATTACTCACTAGCAACTTACTATGTATGACGTTATTGCTTAAAGCTTCTCTTACTTACAAGAGCTAAAGGAATCTCAATGCCCTACTTTGCATCCGTCTTACTGACCAAGACCTGCTTTTACAAGGAGCAGTCAAACAAAACAAAAAAATGGAGCAATTGAAATAACTCTTTCATGTCTTGTCTAAAATTCCAGAAGAGATTGCTGAGAGTTGATTTGAAAACAAACTGTGCTCTGGAAGACTGTAATCAGTCAGAGATTTCAATATGAATGTAAATATTTGTCATCAGATGATTCCATATCCAATTTTTCCAGTGTTCTTAACATTAATCTTATAGCTCCATAAATTCACTGTATTTCATCAATTGGCTCATTTGCACCTGCTGTTATTGTGCCTAACACAATTTAAGAGAAACATCGGAGGCAAAGTTGATACTCAAAAGAACTGATCAATCCCTTGAGATGCAAAATGAGCTTTTATAAGCATTATTTTTTTGTTTATTTACCAGCATCACTAACTCGATACTTCCCCATTTTTCTACAATCTGCGTCCACACAATTTTCAAAAAAAAAAAAAAAACGGGTGTCAGCACAAATGAGGAGTCATAGCGAGCAGATCATTGGCAGAGGTCGTTGTCGGAGGAGAGGAGGCAAATTAACCCTGAATTTCAACGTCAGAGGTCATATGGCATCATCCTATTTATGTTTTAAAGGAAGTGATAGAGCTTAAAAGACATCAATTATCCAGAAGTTGATTCTGGGTGGGCAACTTTTAACACACAGAGTTCTGCAGTGCACCTAAAATTACACACTTTCTTTCTTTTCAGTGTGCATCACGTTTCAGAATAAAATGCATGTGAAAGTGTTATAAAGCAGCCAGAAGGAAAGCAGGAGAGAGCTGAGTGATCATGGAGGTGATGTGGTGTATCACACGGGTCGAAAAAAAAGTGCCGCTGTGGGGAAGACGAAAGAGTCAGAAAGACTTTCATGTGACTTCTAGTAGATTCTGGATTTTGGCCCAATGCACACACTACGGCTTTTCCTCATTTTAACATGCACTGATGACGACATTATACTGATAAGAGGGAATTGATTTGAGAATAATCAAGACAGACAACTCCTTCAATCAGACAGCTGTTTGGATTCATTTATATTTCCTTAGCACTTCCTGCACATTCCCCAAAGAAATAAACTGTGGGTGTGATGTAGTGTATATATGTATATATATATATATATATATATATACAGTGGTGTGAAAAAGTGTTGGCCCCCTTCCTTCTTATTTTTATTAACTAGACACAAGTGAACTGAATAACATAATCAAGGGGAGACAGAAACTAGGTCAAGGAACATGAGGAGAGTTAACACAACAAAGTCCATAAATGTGACAGTGGTATTTTTCAGAATTAAGTTTGAAGAACAGCATTTATTCGAAATAGAAATCCTTTGTAACATTAAATGTCTTTACTGAGATTTTTGATCAATTTAATGCCTCCTTTTTCAATATCTTTAAAAAAAATAAAACTTACTGACCCAAAACTTTTGAATGGTAGTTTGTGTGAAATCTATTTATATAATATTGCTTTTTTCTTTGTTAAAATATGGTTTTCTGGTATTAAAAAATATTTTTAAAAGTTTAATAATTTGGATAGAATGGAAAGTGGAACGTGTCTTCATAGAATACAATGTAGATTATGCAATTACTTACAGAGACAGTGGTGCTTGGTATAGAGGCACTAGACACTGCTGCGCTGGGCTGGTCTTCAACCTGGGAAGGTCTCCTGGCCACATTAAGATTCGGTTTTGCTGCAGCAATGTGAGAGCCGGTAAATCTTGGTTTGGTATACTAAAAATGTGAGAAGACACAATGTGTTATAATAGCAAGCATTACTATTTATTTTAATATTACTATTTTAAGTAAATGCAGACTTCAAAAATACTTCTTTCTGAATGGAAGTGTAGTCCATAAGAGGAATGATTCATTAGCAGTACTGACTCTTGAAATAACTACAAAGTATTTGCATGGTGGAATAATTATTAACATGTGTACAATTAATAATAGCCAGCGTGTATGTGGAATGTTACCTGAGATATAGAATGAAAAAGAGAAAATGTAGCTTTAACACATGAGAAGTATAGAGAGAGATGCCATGAGGGACATGAGTCTAGCTCAGTGACCTTCAACCCAGGCCGAGCTCAGTTAGAGAGGAAGAGGACAATCCAAGAGTAGAGCCCAGAGATGAAAGAGAGAGAGCACACAGGTTACATTCTTCATTTATCCTTGACCATGTGACTTAAACCAAATCTGAGATATTCAAACCGACCAATCAGCAGACAACAGCTGCCCCCACTGTACAAGAGGTGTGACAATTAGTAGGTCTCAGCCAGCATCTCTTAGTTTTCTTGCTTTCTTCTTACTTTCTGAACTTCCTCGAATTTGAAGTGAACTCATACTTCAATGCTTTAAAAAAAAAATTGCAACTCACCATTGACAATTGTGCTGCAACTCTTGCTGCCACAGGAGCAGTAGGCTGGGGCTGGGGGTCCGGCTGACTCTGCTCCATGGCCTTCTTTGCTGTTCCAGCAGCAGCAGCAGGTTGTTCCACCACCCTTTGTGCTGGTCCAGTAGGGCTGGCAGTTGGCTGTTTAAGACAGCCCAAAAAAAATACATGTAACAATTCAGAAAGAAAACCATTTCAGTAAATAATACTAACAAAAAATACTTGCTACATTAATGTTACCTTTGGAGTGTGAAAACCACAGATGCATTTCAGCACACCTCCAAGCAAGTTTGTCTGGCCACGAGACAGCATCGGACATTTCTCAATCTGTAAGCATAATAACAAATGTAATGCACAATACAAGTGAGTCCCTTAACAGAGCATACAATACTTCATTAAATTCATATATTAATTAATTCATTGATTAATTTCTAGGACACGAGTCACTATTTATCTTATATACAGTGGTGTGAAAAAGTGTTGGCCCCCTTCCTGATTTCTTATTTTTTTTGCATGTTTGTCACACTTTAATGTTTCAGATCATCAAACAAATTTAAATATTAGTAAAAGATAACACAAGTGAACACAACATGCAGTTTTTAAATGAAGGTTTTTATTATTAAGGGAAAACAAAATCCAAAACTACATGGCCCTGTGTGAAGAAGTGTTTGCCCCCCTGTTAAAACTGTGGTTTATCACACCTGAGTTCAATTTCTCTAGCCACACCCAGGCCTGATTACTGCCACACCTGTTCGCAATCAAGAAATCTCTTAAATAGGACCTGCCTGACAAAGTGAAGTAGACCAAAAGATCCTCAAAAGCTAGACATCATGCCGAGATCCAAAGAAATTCAGAAACAAATGAGAAAGAAAGTAATTGAGATCTATCAGTCTGGAAAAGGTTATAAAGCCATTTCTAAAGCTTTGGGACTCCAGCGAACCACAGTGAGAGCCATTATTCACAAATGGCAAAAACATGGAACAGTGGAGAACCTTCCCAGGAGTGGCCGGCCGACCAAAATTACCCCAAGAGCACAGCGACGACTCATCCAAGAGGTCACAAAAGACCCCACAACAACATCCAAAGAACTGCAGGCCTCACTTGCCTCAGTTAAGGTCAGTGTTCATGACTCCACCATAAGAAAGAGACTGGGCAAAAATGGTCTGCATGGCAGAGTTCCAAGACGAAAACCGCTGCTGAGCAAAAAGAACATAAAGGCTCGTCTCAGTTTTGCCAGAAAACATCTTGATGATCCCCAAGACTTTTGGGAAAATACTCTGTGGACTGACGAGACAAAAGTTGAACTTTTTGGAAGGTGTGTGTCCCATTACGTCTGGCGTAAAAGTAACACTGCATTTCAGAAAAAGAACATCATACCAACAGTAAAATATGGTGGTGGTAGTGTGATGGTCTGGGGCTGTTTTGCTGCTTCAGGACCTGGAAGACTTGCTGTGATAAATGGAACCATGAATTCTGCTGTTTACCAAAAAATCCTGAAGGAGAATGTCCGGCCATCTGTTCGTGACCTCAAGCTGAAGCGAACTTGGGTTCTGCAGCAGGACAATGATCCAAAACACACCAGCAAGTCCACCTCTGAATGGCTGAAGAAAAACAAAATTAAGACTTTGGAGTGGCCTAGTCAAAGTCCTGACCTGAATCCTATTGAGATGCTGTGGCATGATCTTAAAAAGGCGGTTCATGCTCGAAAACTCTCCAATGTGGCTGAATTACAACAATTCTGCATAGATGAGTGGACCAAATTTCCTCCACAGCGCTGTAACAGACTCATTGCAAGTTATCGCAAACGCTTGATTGCAGTTGTTGCTGCTAAGGGTGGCCCAACCAGTTATTAGGTTTAGGGGGCAAACAGTTTTTCACACAGGGCCATGTAGTTTTGGGTTTTGTTTTCCCTTAATAATAAAAACCTTCATTTAAAAACTGCATGTTGTGTTCACTTGTGTTATCTTTTACTAATATTTAAATGTGTTTGATGATCTGAAACATTAAAGTGACAAACATGCAAAAAAATAAGAAATCAGGAAGGAGGCCAACACTTTTTCACACCACTGTATATGTAGTATATATATATATGCGTTTGTACAATTTTAACATTACTCTAAGAAAAACTCA